TTGCACTTGTCGGTGTTGAATCCCATCCTATTCTCTTCCGCCCGCCCCTGTAACCTGTCTAGGTCCGATTGCAGCCTATTCCTCCCTTCTAGTGTGCCCACATCCCCTTACATCTTAGTGTCATCAGCAAATTTGAGCAGGGTGCTTTTTACCCCCTCGTCCAAGTCACTGATGAAGATGTTGAACAGTGTGGGCCCGAGGACTGAGCCCTGCGGAACCCCACTGCCCACATACCCTCCAAGTCAAAAATGACCCATCCACCACCACTCTCTGGGTTCTGCCCTCCAGCCAGTTGGCGACCCAATTGACTGTGTGGGTGTCGACACCATAGTCCCCCTTTCTAAGAATTAAATGAGAAGGAAGGCCTACAGGGCTCTGGGGAGACTCGGAAGACTCCATCTTAAATAAAATATTGCAGATTTTATCAGAGCAGATTTAGGGAAGGGAAGGATCCAGAGGTCCTGGATCCTGGTGAGCGCAGTGGTACTGTTGCAACCCCCAGCCTTTGGTTCCTGCTCCACCCAAAGTTTAAACCCAACTGCCTGGCAGAGGTAGTGGCATTTCTATTCAGGCAGCCATGAGGGAGTCCATTGACTTCATGGCTCATTGTCATCTAGCTGATTCCTTCTAAACTCTTCATTCCACAGGTGTTTGTGACCTTCTCTCCTTTTTAGTGGTCTCGATGTTCCACTAATCAAGTTAACCTTTCTTTGGCAGTTGTACTGTCTATTGGCTCCTCTCAATAATCCAGCTCCTACTTCACAGTTCTGCAGGCTATTTTTAACTCTAGCTAAAAATATTTAACTCACAGGTGGAAATGATAACTCAGGTGAACGTTTACTCAGGTATGGAAATAATGTTTCTGTAAAAATATGCATGCACTGTCAAGATGCTCAAGAAGGCTAGATTTTGTTTTACGAATCTGGAAAGGAAATACACATTTTATTCTAATGACTATAAAACTAATGAAACAATATCCTTTGATTACGTTTGCCTACTTTGTTGTGTTTTCTTATGCACAATACATGATATAACACATTAATGCATATTCCAATTAAGTTGCATTTGTTTTTCCTTCCATTTTAAGCTGCATAATATAACCCTGGGCCCCCAGCATATTAACCCCAGCATAGGCTGGGGAACTCCCTTCTCGAAAACACAGTGGCAGAAAGAGATCTTGGAGTCATTATCGATTCCAATGTGAACATGGGCCACCAATGTGCGGACGCGGTCAGTAAGGCCAACTGCACCTTGTCATACATCCACAGATGCATCTCAAGCAGGGCCAAGGAGGTGATACTCCCCCTCTATGCGGCACTGGTCAGGCCACTGTTGGAGTACTGTGTCCAGTTTTGGGCTCTGCACTTTAGGAGAGATGCGGCCAGCATTGAGAGGGTCCAGAGGTGGGCTACTCACATGATCAGGGGGCAGCAAGGCAAACCCTACCAGGAGAGGCTACGGGACCTGAACCTGTTCAGCCTTCATAAGAGAAGGCTGAAAGGGTACCTAGTGGCCGTCTATAAACTTACCAGCGGGGAATGGGAGAGACCCTGTTCACCCGAGCACCATAAACGGCCATAAGTTGTTCGAGAGTAGGTTCAGGCTGGACATTAGAAGGCACTACTTCACAGGCAGGGTGGCTAGGATCTGGAACCAACTTCCAAGGGAAGTGGTGCTGGCTTCTATCTTAGGAGTCTTTAAAAGGAGGCTTGGTAATTACCTAGCTGGGGTCATTTGAGCCCGGTATTCTCTCCTGCCCAGGGCAGGGGGTCGGACTTGAAGATCTACTTAGGTCCCTTCCGACCCTACATCTATGAATCTATAACCCTGTGCCCCCAGTAAAGCCTCTAGTTTCTATTTAACTGGAAAAAATGTGCTGCTACATTTGATGATGGATCACACCATCTGCACCTTCCTTCCCCCTTTTCAAAATTCTAGATCCACCCATGGAAAGATCCACGCCTCTAGTCATTTTACCACTCTCGTTATGTATAAAAGTGCACATGGATACACTATTTCTCTCTGATCCACTAGTGGGGAGGAACATGAGGGTTCAGGTTTCTTTCCAGTGGGTGCGTCTACACATGCACCGTTGCTGCGCAGTGACTTATTACTACGCACCAACTGAAAATTACTGTGCAGTACAGGCACACATCTACATGTGTGTTCCCATACTGCACAGTAACTATGGCGACTTACACTGACTTGTGTAAATTTGCTACCTGCATGATGCACCCGAGTAGTTAGTGTACAGCAAGGTATGTGCAGCCGCCTTACTGCACAGTAACCCTGTTTGTGTGGACTGATGTGGGGCTAACTTTAGTCCCACATCAGTCCACACACAGCAGAACTGCACTGTAATGCCTGCACGTGTAGACATCAGCATAAAAGCCGCTTACTGCGCAGTAACTTACCAATCAGTAAATGCATGTGTAGACATGCCCAGTTTTAATCTGTTGGTCTCTTTTGATGTGGAATTTTGACTGCACGGATGTGGTGAAAAGAATTGTAGAATACAATACCACCTATGCCTGATCAGAGAGAGAAATATTGATTTCAAAGGGAAGTTTTGCTGTGGACTTTGGTAGGAGTTAGATCACCACAGATTTCACTTACTGTATAATCCAAGATAAGAAAGAAGCCTTGGTGGTAGGAGCAGCATTCATTGGTCTGTTATAAAAACACCATGTGTTGTACACACTTCTGCAAAGTCAAATCTAAATATATTATGTTGGTTTTGCTGGTTGCAGTATTTTGACTGCACACTTCCTCTTAAAATGGTGATAACAATGGATTGTCCCTGTCATGAATTTATGTAACAGCTTAAGAAATCTGTCAGTTTTTTTTACTTCCAGATTCATTTATTTATTTAATTTTGTCTTACTTTTTGTCTTAAAGTACAAGGGGAGCTAGACCCAATGATCTGCAAGGTCCCTTCCAACCCCTAACAATCTATGAAAAAAGAATTTCATTCGTGGATTACTTAGAAGCCATGCTAATTTTTTACTCTTTGTATGTCGTGTGTTCATATAAGTTTGTTTTTAAATGCATAATCTGTGTTTTCTCCCCAGTCTGTTATCAAGGCATTTACTTCAGTTTGTTCGAAGTGGAAATATCAAGCAAAGATCACCAAAAAATGGATCACTTATTAGAAACTCTAAAGAAAAAAGAGTTGGTAAGAACTTTAAGTGATTTTCTTTCAAGGGAAAATGGCCTTTATTAATTGAACACAGATCCTTAGCTTTGGGAGAAGCATTTCCAGGTCTGTCCCTAAATAATGTGAATAAGAGTCTGTGTGGCTTAGCTCTGAGAAGTAGCTGCAAACTGTCTCTTAAAACAATGATATCAGTCTAGTAGGGGTTGCTCTTTACAGAAACTGTTGATGGTGACAATAGATTACAGATTTTAAACTGTAAACTGGTTTTCAGCCTAAATGAAATACCCCACCTTGAATAGAATACCTTTTATTAGACCAACTCAAATAGTTGGAAACAATTCTTCTCTGCAAGCCTTCAGGTATAAATACCCGTTGTCAGGCTGAGGAAGCATCTGCAGCTGATGTGTGCTCTTCCTGGATGCTCTTCCATCTTCTACACACCAACTGCAGATGCTTCCTCAGCCTGACAAAGGGTGTTTATAGCCGAAAGCTTGCAAAGATTTTTTTCCAGCTATTTGAGTTGGTCTAATGAAAGAGATCAGATTTACCCAAAGAACCTTGTCTGCCTATGTCCTTAGACCCACATGGCTACAATCTATACCCCTGAATAGAAAGCATTATTCAAGGTAGAGCCTGTCTAGATCTCTGCTCAGCTGGGATTGTTTTATAAAGTAGAATTCAACTGGGTTTTTAAAAGCACATGTATTAGTTTTCCTTGGACAATGAGGGTATTTATAGATTAGGCTGGTGGAAACTGATTTAAAAAAATGACCGGCCATTGATTAGGTGCCTTGCCTTTAGAGTTCTCCTTTATACCCCCGCGGTAGCCGTGGTCCAGCCAGATATTTGGCACGTATCCTCACAAAGCTGCCAATGCTTCCTGAGTTCTGAAGCTGTGAAGACCAATCCATCTTCTAAAGGGAAATCTCCCCTCTACTGTGGTATGTAATCCTGGACCATGTCTTCTGCGGTGGCTTTTCACAGAGCTCCAGGCTCTCTCTCTCTCTCCCCCTAGCCTGATCTCCAGAGTGCCACAGTAAGGCATGATCTCTGCTCTCTGAGTTGGTACTGTCACTTTTGGTTGCTGACCTGGCATTTATGTCTTTCTGGGGTTCCTGTACCCCGTTTTGGGTTTCCCTGCCAGTCACTTTCTCTAAATGGAGTTCCTTGACTCACGAGCAAGGGAGCCTGGTATAAATTGGCTTCAAGTGAGGCATGCTTTCGCCAGTTGAGGATCTGCAGTGCCTTCTTATTGCTGTCAGAGACTGAATGAATTGATGGTTAAATTTAGGGCCTGAATATAGGTTGAAAACTTAGAGGAGCCCCTGAGGTGAAGGTGCCACAGCAATGTCCCCTCCAGCTTGTAAACTGAATGCAAATGATAAGAGAACAGGTGTTTCTGCAGCTTCAAACACCAGTCATGTTGGACTGCAAATTCTTTTCCGTTTCCTTTTTTTTCAAGGGGGAGACGACACGCTTTGCCCCACTCTGCTCTATTACTTCTGATTTGAATTTCTGTTAGTTAATTTTGATGGTTTGCATTCCCTGGTATATAATGGAAAGTGAAACTAATATTACCAGCCTCATTGTTTCGCTTTCAACTGTGTGGGCAGTGCACTTTGTGTAGCCTAGAAGTGAAAATGAAAGCATCTCAGGGGATCCCTGTCACTGTGTGAAAGCCAGCTGCACTGAGGTCATTGTGTCTGATTTTTCTGAAATGCCTTTTTAAAACTCAGATATTTAATAGCAGTCTGGTTTTCCCACTTGTTGTTGCTCAGGGTCTTTTGTAATGCTGAAAAATGACATCACTTTCTTGGATAAACTAAGCTTTCACTCTTCTGTTGTAGCAAATTCGGCTTTCATTCTTTTCCTAAACCAGTTCAAAACCATTATGATTTATCATTATAAATATTAGTTGGCTTAGAAATCAAATAATGAAAAGTGTTGAAGCATTAGGAAGCTACTGCAAAGGGGTTCTCTCCTTTCTGTGTTTCATATTCATATGTTAAAAAATGTATTTAAAATGTCATTTCCGGTTTTGTTTGGTGAAACAATCAGAATAACTTTTTGCAGGCTGTAAAACAGTTTTGTTCTTACCTTTATTTTTTTTTTTTATTAGGGAACCTTTTCCTATTTGTGATTTTCCATTAACATCCTCAAAGACTTTTAGAACCAGGGGCCTAATGCGATTGTCATTTGTGTGTCTACTAAATACATTTTGATGAAATAATGCTATTAAGAAGTACTGTAAGAAGGGATTAGATTAATTTTTGGGGGGATGAAAGAAAGTGAAAGAAACAAATAAACAAAAAGAACCCTCACTGTAATGTCATGGCTGCTTGTTCTAGGCGATCATCAAACACCTGCATGATCAAGGCTTTCTTTTCTTACTCTCCTCCTCGGCATTAACGAGGGATGAAGGTAAGAGTGTAACAAGGGAGAAATCTTTAATGAAGTATTTGGTTGTTTAAATTCTAGGATACTCCCCCTCCCTTCCCCCCCCCATTTTTATTGAAAAACCCACTACATCTCTTTTTTCTTTTTAGCAGCTTTTGATCCTGATGAGCCCATCAGTCTCCTTGCCTTGTTCCTCTTCACTTCATCTAGATCAACATATGTAACAGGTAGGGCTGCTTTGTTTGCAACTGGTATATAGATGAAAATATTCAACTTGCTAAAAATATTGGATTTTGATTTACCCAACTCCTGTTTGAGGCATAAAGGGGCATTGGTTTAGCCATCTAAATCATGAATGCCAGTGCAATTAAAAGGAATTGCTTAGCTGTAGATTTTTGCTGGACACTTTCACTAAGAAGCAAGAGTTAAATCCAAGAGCTTTGATGGGTAAAGTACTACTTAAATTCATTGCTGCTAGGGTTTATAATATTGACTTGTATTCCATGCCTAAAAGAGAGGTGCTAGAATCATACAACAGTAAGGCTGGAAGGGACCTCAGGATGTTACAGGTAGTCCAATCCACTGCTCAAGGTGGGATCATCCTTGACTAAGCCATCCCAGTCTAGTATTTGTCTAATCTGCTTTTATGAACATCCACGTATGGATATTCCACAACCTCTTTAGATAACCTGTTCCATTGCTTAACTACTCTCTTAGTGAGAGAGCTCTTCCCAAACTCCAACCTAAATTAGTCTTGTTGCCACTTTAGACCATTGCATCTTGTCCTGTCCCCTGAGACTACAAAGAATAGTCTATTTCCGTCCACCATATAGCCACCTTTCAGGTATTTGAAGACTGTTATCAAATCCCACTTTAGTCTTTTCTTCTCCAAGACTGAGGATGATAAAAATAATAATTTAGTTAAATAGAATAAAGGTTGCAAAGTTGAGTGTGCACAAATCATGAAATAATACAATTTCAACTTCCATGTTATATGCACATAACATTTTGTGTAATACGTTTACACCATATTATATATAGAATCATAGAAAATGGGGGCTGGCAGGGACCTCAGGAGGTCACATCTAGTCCAACTCCCTGCTCAAAGCAGGATCATCCCCAACTAGATCATCTCAGTCAAGGCTTTGTGTAGCCAGGTCTTAAAAACCCCCAAGGATGGAGACTCCACCACCACTCTGGGTAACCTTTTCCAGTGCTTCCCTACCCTCGTAGTGAGAAGGATTTTCCTAATATCCAACCTGAACTTCCCTCACTGCAACTTGAGCCAATTGCTCCTTGTCCTGTCATTTGCCCCCACTGAGAACAGTCCAGCTCCATCCTCTTTGCAACCCCCCTTCAGGGAGTTGAAGACTGCTATTAAATCTCCCCTCAGTCTTTTCTTCTGCAGAGAAAATAAGCCCAGTTCTCTCAGCCTCTTCTCACAAGTCCTGTCCCCCATCCCCCAACCATTTTTGTTGCCCTCCACTGGACTCTCTCCATTTTGTCCACATCCTTTCTGTAGTGGGGGGCCCAAAACTGGACGTGACTCCAGATGTGGCCTCCCCAATGCTGAATAGAGGGGAAGAATCACTTCCCTCAATCTGCTGACAGCGCTCCTACCAATGCAGTCCAGGATGCTGTTAGCCTTCTTGGCAAGAAGGCACACTGCTCGCTCCTATTCAGCTTCTTGTCCACTGTTTATTTTCTGCAAAGCTGCTGCTTAGCCAGTCAGTCTGTAAGGGTATGTAGGACTGTTCTGTCCTAAGTGCAGGACTTTGCACAAGTTCTTATTGAACATCATGAGATTTCTTTGGTTGAATCCTTCAATTTGTCTTGGTTTCTTTGAATCCTAGTCCAACCCTGCAGCATATCTACTAGTCCCCCCTGCTTGGGGTTTCATCTGCAAACTTGTTAAAGGTGCACTGCATCCCTTTATACAGTAGTGGCATTCATATTCTTTGTTGTATGGCATTCAAGTTCCATTATGTATTTGGGATCCATATTTTTGCTGCCTCACCTGTAGCCTTCTCCTTAATTTAGCACATCAGGAATTGCTTTTGAGCAGCCTCACTCTCAAAAACTGAGCTTCTCTTTCTCCCGTAATACAGAGTTTCAGCCTAAAATGACACCAGCTGCCTTAGGCTTAGAATAGCATTACTGTTTAGATTTGCTGACATCTCATGACCCATCAGATCTAGAAATACTTTCTGTATCCTACTGGAGAAATAGGATCCTACATATTTTTGGCATGCAGCCTATGTGTCCAGCCTATTTAATCACATTTAGAACTTTAAAAGATGTATTATAGATTTTCTTTCCCTTGAAAATCTCCCAGGTCTCACAACTCGTCCTTGGGGAAGAGATGTCACAGCTCCACCCCCTTCATAGGAGCATCTCACTTGAGAGGAACTCTGTTGGCTCTAGGGCTGTGTTATAACTTCAGCAGAATCTCCCCGTGTCCTGTGTTATCCTCCCTGGGCTGTCTGCTATCTACTTCTCCCTTCACAGCCCATCACAGAAGGAAAAGGCTCCCCACAACCCACTTCCTTAATTGAGTCATCCCAGCCTCTTGGGGATGTTGCCCACATCCTTCCCAACTTAGTCTGATAAGTGCCCCAAGCCATCTTGCCATCAGGGACAGCTGGCAGAGGGTCAGCGGTGGGATTGACGTTGACTCCCAAGCCTGTGCTGAAAGGATGTGGAAAACACTTCAGCCCTAAAAATGCTGCTATTCTTAAGGCATTTCTAAAACAGATTTCCACTTGAGTGCATCTGATAAAACTAAGGACCAGTGCTATGTGCTGGTGTTGGTTCTGTTTGGCTCGTCATGTCAGATATCCCGTATCATTTTTGGCTTTGGTTTAGGTGAGTCATGCTAAGCTCAAGCCAATAAAACACGATGCAGGGTCTGCCTTCAGTTCTTGTTGCTGTGTCGGTCCTATGGCAGCAATGTGCATGGTGCTGCGCAGCGCATAGAAAACATCCCTACCTTGAATATTTTATAAACTAGAACTGTGGTTCTCAGCCTTTACAGACTCAAGGCACCTGTAGATAGACCTGAGGCACCCCTTGGAAAATGCCAGCTCTTCCTTTTCTGCTCTTTCTTGCCTACAGAAAAATAGTAGAGCAGGTTTTTTTTGTTGCAAAGAACTCAGAAAGACCCCAGCCATGGATTTCTATTTGAAATCTCTGGTTTATCTCACAATTCATGTTTGTGAACCTAAGAGTGCTAACATTGTGGCACCCTGTTTAAGAATCACTGAGCTAGAAAGCAGACAGAACACATGGGGAAATCTAGGGAGTGTAGGGGTCATTTCACTTGTATTTTACTTTTACGCTTAACTGGAAAGTCTCTGTTCTGGGAGGCATGGAAGAAATGGGCTTATCAAAGGAAGAGATGACTGCAGCTTGGGAAACTGGTGTGAGGAGGGAAACGCCAAGCTACAGAAGGGAGAGAAGGAAACCAAATGGCTTTGTGACTCAGCTGGCAGAGCAAAAAGGAGAAAACACAACAGGAGACTGAGTCCAGACTTAGGCTGGAGCAGATTAATGGCAGGATGTGAAAGGGAGTGTGGCTTTACTTGGGAGTGTGCCTTGCAGGCAGGAGGGAGGAAGGGAGCGAGTGAGTGGGGGGGTTAGAGCAAGGTAAGAGATGCACAAATGAATGGGAATCACCCTTTCAGTGGCACTGTTTTGCTCTGTGGACAGCAGGGGCATCCCCAAAGCAGGAGGCATGCTTTTTTGCTGTAGTGCTAATAGGAAATGGCAAGAGTCTGAGGGAATATTTTAGCTGCTGGTAGAAAGGGCACAGCTTGGAGGTGTGGTGGGGAAAGCAGCAGCTGGGCCTGGATGTAATACTTCTGCAGGAGCATGAGGAGGAGTTGGCTGTTAGTCCGTGATTTGAACCCTGAGCAATAGGAAGGAAGATAGTGGCAGCAGTAGTAAGGGGAAGAGAGGATGCTCTTTGGAAATGGCAGTATTTATTATCAGATCACAGATTCATAACAAAGTAGGGCTGGAAAAGCCCTCAGGACCTCAAATAGTCCAACCCCCTGCTCAAGCCATCCTGGATATTAGATTAGATTATATCTCTATTCTGGAATTATTTCAACAGTGGCCTGTATCTTATAGTTTCTGGGGTCAGAAGGGACCTGAACAGTTCATGAAGTCTGACCCCCCTGCCCTGGGCAGGAACGAGTGCTGGGATCATAATACCCCAGCCAGATATCTATCCAACCTCCTCTTGAAGACCCCCAAGGTAGGGGAGAGCACCACCTCCCTTGGGAGCCCATCTTCTTCAGTGATGTTACACTAAGATTCTAACATTTCATCCACCATCCAGATTTCATTGTGTTGGTCTCTTTCAACAGGACTCATTTGTAAGTTGCTGGTTAATTGTAATTATCTGCAGACCTGTGTTAGCACAGTTCAATCTGACTTGCACCTTGGGACTGCACTTTCCCCTCTCCGGGGTTAAAAGTGATTGCATTTTAGGCTCTTTCCTGGCTGTGAGAGGAGGCCGGGTCAGATCCATAAGGCAAGCTGGGAATTACATGAGCAAAGGATGAAAAAGGAAGAGGAGGGGAGAGATGGAAGCTGAGTTTGCTCAATTGCTGTGTCCTCACTTGAGGCCTCTGAGAGCAAATGTGCTTGCCTTTGAAGCTCTTCATGCAGCAGTGGTGTTATAGCTGCAGCCAAAGTGAGAAATGTAGACCAAGCCTAACACAAGCACCGGGGCTTTAGCAAGTTTGCCACTGCATTCTTCAGCCTACGGCAGCAGCAAAGGAGTGCCACCAGCCGCCCTGCTGGGAGGGAAATCTATTAATTGAGCCTTGCGTTTGCAAAGGTTCAAGCTGCTGTTGAGAGGCTGTAGCTGGATCAATAGGGAAATGCATTGCACAGATTGAGCATCTGGGGGAAAAAGCCTGAGAGCCACATCTGACTTAAGTTATCCATTGGAGAGGAGGGGTTGAGACGGGCACCCCAATTCTTGCAGAAGTACTGATGAAGAAAGAGCCCTACCCACAGCGAGACTTCTGTTGCCCTGGGGTTGAAGACAATGGATGGTGAAATCCTAATCGTAGGCCTATTGTAGCCTCCCACCTCGTCATCAGTAAGATGAGCAAATTCCCCAGTACATCCAGCTGAGTATATTGTTATGATAATTGCGCTTCCTATTACCATCCCATTGCACTCTAACAACCTCCTATACCATGCTCCCCTCCTCGCCTTCTGCAAAGGACACTATACATGTCTTACCTCAGAAGCATCACCTTCCAGTAACGTCAGTGACTTTTTCCTTTGCCTACAGTAGAACAGTAAAATAGTACAGATCCTGAGGGCAGCAGCTAAACAGGCAAACAAACCACATAATTCAGCTTTATTTTGGGACGTCTTTAATAAGTCATCCCTCAAACCTTACCTTTGCATGGAAACAAAAATTCAGATACTCAAAATTTTGATTACCCAAATTTTCAGTATTCCAGGGGATCACTCAGACAGTTGGATCAGACTGCATTTGATATGTAATATTCCATGCTTTACTCTAAATCTTCTGGATTTCTTCCCGGATGGAGAAGCTAATGGAAGAGCATTATTTCCTACTCGATTCTAAGGACCTCAGCTTTGGACCTCCATAAGTCTCTGTAACGCTAGCAACAGCGGGTGCATCTACATGTGCCATTAAGGTCCTGTAAAGTCCGGCGTAGTTCATGTGGGAGTCTGCTGCTCCTGGGTACAGCATCTACATGTGCACCCTGGACTGTAGCAGCTTGAGCTGAGGTGGAGCAGCCCTGGCCTGGCAGGGAGCCTGGGGGGTGGGGGGTAGTCAGCCCCAGGCTTCAGGTGGCAGTGTCGGGGCTGGCTGGGGCACAAGGGTGCTAAAGTGCAGAGCTAGGTGGCAGGCAGCCCCTGTACTTCAGCACCCTCGTGCCCCAGCCAGCCCCTGTCACCATCTATGTATGTATTTCAGCAGAGTTAAGTACTTCACTGTAAGATAGTACTGTCCCAAACTTTCAGTAGAGTTAATTACGTTACTACACCCAAATACTGACATGTGTAGATGACGATGCTTTACTGCATAGCTAATTAGTCAGCTCCGCAATAAAGTGCACATGTAGACGCACTGAGTTACAAGCATCCATCCAAGCAAAGAGAATGGTTCCTTTTTTTTTTAATTGATGTTCAAAATATTTTTTTCTCTCCAGGACAGAAACAGGACTTGAAACTTGAAAACAAAATCAGCGATCTAGCTCTAAAAGTCTCCTGTATTCTACCAGGCCTTCGCTACGCCTATCTTGAAGCCACAAAGTGCCCGTTGAGTGCGGGCAGCCACTCCAGTCTTCTGATTAAGCATTACTTCCAGGAGTTTGCCAAACTTGATAAAAACACACCAGCAACTTCCAGCAAAAAAAACAAGCTTCCCCCTTGTCTTCACATATCACCAGACATGCCTGAATGTCTTGATTCTTCTGACCAGTGGCAAAAACAGGTCGTTTCTCAGCTGCAGACTTACCTCCGTGATCCTGGCAGCTACACTTTGGAAATGTCTGCAGCTTCTGACTGTTTGGCTGGCAACCCTCCGCCCTTGTGCTGTGACTCGACTGGGACTTGCAATACTGATGTGTCTTTAGTTTTGCCTCCTGACTCTGTTCTTCCAGACATAGCTGCCGAGATAAGGGTTGAAACTGAAAAACCTAAGCCCACGGCAGGACTGAACCCAGGGAGTGAAGACGCCACAGCCAACACCAACCCAGCAAGTAATGTGAAGTTGCAGCAGAATAAGAGGAAATCCAGCAGGGCCATGGTAACGAATACTAGGAAGAAGTGGGCCCCTTTAAAGATGCTTTCGGTGGTGGACACTAACCGAAACAGACAAGGGACCAAAAAGATAAAGGTGAACATGACTTTCCCATTTCCCAAGAAACAAGGGCTCACAACGTATTCGAATGAGCCCACACTCAAGTTGGCCAATTTGCAGTTTCCACACAGAAGGAAAAGAGGTAAGCATCACAAAACCCAAGGAGATCTTCACAGGTAAGCACACTACACGTACAGAGCTTAAAACTCTGTCACGGTGGTCTTAGGCAGGTAAAAGTTTAAGTAATAATAATATCTCAGGTAGGAAACTCAGTTTCCGAACCTACGGTTGTTACTAGTTGAATGAATAATACCATATCTTCTCACATACCACTCCCCGCCCCAAATAAAGCATGCACATTTGATTTTTGGAAAGAAAAAAACATTTTTTCTAGAGTTGTGGCTGATTGTGTGACGTGGAGTAAGTCCTCCTGGGAACATAGAGCAGCGGGTCCCAAACCCACCAGTGGTATGCAGACAAACCCGAGAGTGGTATGTGGAAGGCCGGAGGGAATGGCGCATGCACACAGACACCCAGCTGCAGCCTGCTGCAAGTGGCTGGGAACACAGCCCAGCCGCGTGTGGAGCAGTGCCCAGCAGGTAGGTGTGTTGGGAGGAAGGGGTGTGTGGGGGTGTTGCAGATTGAGGCCGCCGTGATGAGGGAAGGAGTGGGGCAGAGGCAGGGCTGAATGGACTCCCGGGGAGGGAGATGGTGCGAGCCCCAGGTGTCTCATCCAGGGGCGCAGGAGAGCTCCTGCCACTGTGTGCACCCTGCGGTAGGCACGGGGAGCATCTGCCCCCTGGGTTTGTGCGCAAGGCAGCTGCCGTTGCCTCGGGAGCTGCGCACGGCACCATGTGCCTTCCGTACACTGGCTGTCCAGCAGCAGCAGGCACATGGCGTCACGTGTGGCTCTTGAGGTGCAGAGCTCAGCGTGCAGTGGCAGCCGCCTCCACCTCGCACATACATCCAAGGGGCTGGTGGTCCCCATGCTTACGCCGGGGTGCGCACAGTGGTGGGAGCCCCCCATGCCCCTGGAAAGTCCCAGGTCACCCCGGGAAGGGCTGTGTCCTTCTGTGCTGGCTCTGCGAGGGGACGCTGCTTAGCTGAGGCAGGATGCCAGGCTTGGGGGCGCTTCTGGGTCCGAGCTCAGCCTCCCTGTGAGCAGGGCAGAGCTGCGCCCCCCACAGGGCCTGGTCACAGGAGCTCCCGGGAACAGCTGCCCCAATCTGCTTTGGCCCCAGCCTTGCCTCCCCGCAACTCCCCTCAAGCGGCCGGGGCAGGAAGCAACATTCAAGAGTGCCTGAGAGCCAAAAGGGAGGCGTACACCCGGTGGGAGGGAGAGGCTATCACCAAGGAGGAATACTCGTTGGCCTGTGAGTGTAGGAGGGCCATTAGGAAGGCCAAGGCAGAGATGGAGCTCAGGCTAGCGACCAGGATTAAGGACAACAAAAAGTCCTTCTTCAAATACATTGGGAGTAAGAAGAGGGCACCGGGTAATGTAGGTCCCCTGCTAGACTCAAATGGTAATCTTGTGGCTACACCAGATGAGAAAGCCGAAATTTTTGACAAGTTGTTTGCCTCTGTTTTCTTGGATGGGGACCAGGACAGCTCTCCCACCACAGGTAGGGGCAGTCTTGGGGGTAGCACTACCAGGCCTCGGGTCTGCGCAGATGTAGTTAGGGATCTTCTGGAAGGGCTGGATGTTTTTAAATTTGCGAGCCCTGATGCCCTCCACCCGCAGGTGGTGAGAGAGCTGGCGGGGGTCATTGCTGTGCCCTTGGCCCGGCTGTACAAGCTATCGTGGTCCACGGGCCAGGTGCCTGGAGATTGGAAACTAGCTAATGTGGTCCCCATTTATACGAAAGGGAGAAAGGAGGACCCAGGAAACTGTAGGCCCATAAGCCTCACATCGGTCTTGAGGAAAACCCTTGAAAAAATTATCAAGGAGCACATCTGTGGGGGCCGGCAGGGGAGATCATGCCCAGGGGAAATCAACATGGGTTCATCAAAGGCAGGTCCTGCCTGACCAACCTGATGGTCTTTTATGACCAGGTAACTAAATCCCTGGATGATGGTGTCGCTGTGGACGTAGTCTTTCTGGACTTTAAGAAGGACTTTAAGAAGGCCTTTGACACTGTCTCTCACCCCATCCTCATTAATAAATTGAGCAACTGTGGGATTGATGCCTGCACAGTTAGATGGGTCAAAAATCGGCTGATGGGGCACACCCAGAGAGTGGTGGTGGATAGGTTGTACTCGACCTGGCGCGATGTGAACAGTGGGGTCCCCCAGGGCCCGGTTCTGGGGCCTACACTGTTCAACATCTTCATCAGCGACTTGG